GCTTTTAACAAATTTGTGTTTTTTGAGATGCAAGTATTTGTTAGAAGTAAAGAGAAGGGATTAGCTTATTACTAGCTAAGGTAGTTGCTTGGGTTGAATTGAGCTTTGCTGAGAAACCCGAGAAAGAACGCTTGAAACTGTAGATCATGGATTCCTCGGCTTCTTCTTTGCTATATAATGTAAAAAATTATAAAGAATGGAAGAAAGAAGACTGGGTCATGATTTTGAGTTATGCATGATATAAAAGCGCTCTATACGTAAAACAGAAGGAAACAAAAAAAAAAAATGAGAGTACTAAAAGCATTTGAACAATAGTACCTATCAAAGACATTAGATAGGAGCTGGACATGATGTCTAGAAGTGAGGAGAGGATCATGGATTTGGTTGAGCCCCCCTAAATAGACGATGTAAACCTGTGTAAAACAAGAATCAGAAATGAAAGAAGACGAGATGATCATTATTAATCAAGAGGGGGGGACCAAAAAAAAAAAAAAGAAACACTTTTGCATTAAGTAATAAAGTTACATGAGACATAGATGTTGAGTGAATAAAATAAAGTGAAAGTGAGAGGAATAGGCCCCAAAAACACTGAAAAGAAATGGCCATTTTTATCTCCTATGGAAAAACCACATGGTGGCTTGGGATTAAATAGGGAAGGCCATGGAAAGGATGGTTGTGGAGTGCGTGCATTTGAAGGCTTTCAGGCAGCAAGAACAGTCCTGACAGATCTCCATCAAAACCATGATGATATTTTCCCTTCCAAGATATAACAGTAGATAAAGATGGGGTGTTTCCCCCGCCCTTTTTTGCATTTATGTAGTACAATACGTACCAATCCATAGCTGTCTTGCAGAGAACTCAATCATAGCTACTATGAATACCACAAAGAGACATGCATTTGGAACTCCATTATTGTTCAAAGAAAAAAAAAATCCTTTCTCATAAACCTGATTAATTGACAACATATTAGCTGCATTATCTTTTACCAAAATAGTAGATAAAGATGGGATATACTCCCTCCCTTTTTGAATATACATACGTAGAAAGAGCCCACCTTCATAGAATTCAATCATATTATATATTATGAATACCACAAAGAAAAATGCATGTGCTTCCATCATTCTACATACAAAGAAAAAATGGTAAAAGAAAACCTTATAGCTAGCCTTCTTTTATCATAAGCTTGGTAAATTGACAAAGTTAACTGCATTAGTACCTTTAAAGTTTAATTCCTTTGACTAAAACTGCATTTAGGGGATTCTTTTTGTATAAATGAAGCTGACGAAGTAAAAGGTGTAAAGTCTTTCACTAATTTACCTTCGGCAAATCTAAATATAAATCCCACATACATGAACTTTTGCAGGCCTTGTACAAAACAAGGGAGAACATATAAAGCTCAATCTAAACTATGCTATATATTCATCATTAACTGAAAAACACTTTGTTCAACTTGGCTAGAACTGATATTAATGGATGGATGGTAAATTTTTTCTTTCTTTCTTTCTTTTTTCCGGTAGATAAAAAGTGTATAGAGACTATTATACTTCATTAGCCAACATAAACACATCTAGTAAGCATTTATACCTAGTACTACAGTCAACATAAACACATCTAGTAATCATGTATACCTAGTACTGCAGCCAACATAAACACATCTAGTGAGCATTTATACCTAGTACTTCACAAAGCTAGCTACAAAAGCTTCTCTGTCAATATATTAATAAGGATTGCATATTACAGATTCATGCTTTTTCTGATTTATTCCTAGTTGGCAACTACATTCAACTTGTATACCATATAACATGCGCCAATGTACCATCACCAACTTCTAAGAAATCAATTAATCAACCTATTCATGCAATGATCAGCATAGGATAACTAATCTTACAGAAGTGGTTGTACAAAGAAATACTAATTTAAATAGAAGGGATGAATATGTAATCAATGAAATCATTGCTTAGCTAGATTTTACGCAACACATTGCGTGATTTAAGCTCAATTGTGTTGTGTAATTGCAGGATCATAATCAAAGACCTTAGACTTGCGAATTACGTTTTACCTTACAAGATGAACTTCAACATCATTAGACCTTCCATTGGAACACTGAGGTGATATGCTTCATCAATGGGCATATGATTTCTGTCATAGGAACCTATAATTGCATTTTCATACATAATAATTTTGATTGAAGTAAAGCACCTAGTTTGCTTTGATAAGCAGGAATTTCAAGTGCAAAATTAATATTTTTCTCTGTGTAGGCCACATTTTAAAGTTTTTTGGACTATATAGTCAATATTTAGTCTACCTCCTAGAACAAAACTTTGTGTTTAAATGACAAAAGGCAGTTAGAACTAGCCAATAACATATTCGGTATGCTCTATAATTTTAAACATTCATGTTATGGAATAATTTGATTGAATATGGAACTAGAATGAGAATATAGCATGAGAATATTGCACAATTCTTTACTATATTAAGTATATAAGAAGATTACAAGAGCTGATATATCAGACCTAAAATGGAATGTGGAACTCTCTGACAGATTGCTTGTGTAAATTTAGTTTTGCATATTATTGAATTGTATGAGAAGAAAAACTCAGTATGCAATTTGCTTGTATAGAAAATTGATGAAGTTAAGAAAAAGCTGTATAACCTGCTTTCTGAGAGAAGTTAAGAGAAAAGCTATTTTAGAGGTTGAATCATCTCGGACCGAATTGGAGAAAAGAGAGACTGTATGCTTAGTGCAGACTTTGCTCCTGCTTAAAGTCATATAGAAGTCATGTATCCAAGCTGACCATTGCACTAAACAGAAAATAACAGATATCATCTGCTGTATAACAAGAAAGAAAGAAACCTGGAATAATATTAACTAGTTTCTATTAGAAGTAATTCTTCCAAAAAGTAGCTTCAGAACACAGGTATACTATTAACAGCATTTGCATACCAGTCTTTCCCAATGTGTTACAGTTTAGGTATTTTAATTAACTTCTATTCTTTCTATCATGGGACAGAGTAAACTTGGTAAACCCTCACTTACCAACCAAAAAAAAAAAAGAAAAAAGAAATAAAAGAGTTTACTCTGACCTATATTTTGCTTTCAGGAATTCAAGAATGCACCGAAACATTCTTCCAATCTATACCAATAATAATAATCCAGCCTAAATATGATTTATAATTACAATGTGTAGATATATAAGAAGCAATTAAGAACCATGCAAAATAACCCTTTTGACCACCACTAAAGTTATGACTATTGAACACAAATTTGCATGTTGTTGTCCATTTTATGGTGGGGCCAAGTAGTTTCTATTGTAAGTTTCTACTTAAGCCCATGATCAGGATTAATGGATGACCATTAGATTGCAGGCTAATGAAGTTGATATCATGATTGATCTTCAAGAGATGCATTTAGACATTGATCTGGTTTTGTGAAAAGTGATTTATTATTGTAATCCCTGTTAAGAAGAAGATGATGTATTCTTTCCCGTGTTTGTAATCATCTATTTTAATTAGATTAACAATTATTATGATTATATCATATTATGATTGGTAATACTTCTCTAAATACATGTATGATCATTGTTAATTATTCATTATTACCAATTAGTAGAGTTGACTTTGTGTGCACATGTGTACTTGTGCGTGTGTGTGTGTGTGTGTGTGTGTGTGAGAGAGAGAGAGAGAGGTTGATGGTAAGCTTGCTTTTCTCCTTGACACTACTCAGTCATCACTCTAGATTTTTCTAGTAGAGACCATACATAAGAATCTAAGATTAGGACCTCCTTTCATATTCTTTCCAGAAAAAATTCTCCAATTGTATCTGAAAGTTCTTCCTAAGCTCACTTGTAAAGTAGGACAGTGAGCTCAGCTTTGCATTCCAATTTCAAGGTGCTGCTATCTTGAAAATCAGCCACATCTTTTAGTCCTCTGTCTTTTTGTGTGTGCGTGTGCTTGCGTGTGTGTGTGTGTGTGAGTGAGTGAGTGAGAGTCCTGAATTGAATTCTCCTTCTTTTCAGCATCATTTTAATGAGTCACTCCATGGCCAAGGTTTAAGAATAATATTTTCACATCACCATCCAACAAATTAGTCAAGACAATTAATCTAGCAAGATGGTACTTTTCCTTTGCACTTCTGAAATTGTCACATACAGGCCCTATATATATCCCACATGTGGAACAATATCATACCTACATTGGGTAGGTTTTGATTTAAGAACAATATAATAGCCAAAGATCAATTAATATCTGCACATGTTTTGGTTGAAAATGATTCAAAAGAAGCACTATATTTTGTATCCCACTCATTTGCTTTCGTTGCACATCACTTAAAAGTACTAAATAGTGTTCATACCACATTTAGAGTGATGTTTGAAGGACTTTGAATTCTCTCCAGTTGAATTCAGTTGGGCTTTCTAACCCTCCCTAGTGCACCGAAAAGCCCATTGCAATTTCCACCCTTCATAGTGCACCGAAAGCCCAGTTCTTCGATGTTTGAAAGACACCTAGCATAAGAGAAATTCAAAAGTGATAAATGGCAAATATATTATGATAAGATGTCATCATGTGAGACCTTTGTGAATATGTCTATTGGTCACTTTTATTTCGTTCGCGTACCTAATCAGTGCATTAGCATTGCTCCTAGCATAAATGAGTATTAGTGTCTGCCTAAACTTGTTTGTGTACTTATTTACATGTTCTTGCAATTAGATTTGTATATGGATCTATATATATATATACAAGATTACATTAATTTTTGTTTCAGTGAGTAGACTATATATAAAAGAAAACAAACTGTACAAATATACAAAAGTCACCAGGCTAGCAACAAAACTAGCCACACAAACAATAGGCAAGACCATACATCAAACACCAAACAGGCATCAACTATTTTGAGTACTCTAAGGGTATATGCTTGATTTACAATAATTGCATATTCTTAACACACACACACACGCATATATATGTATGTATCTATACACATAGTGCTAGACATTGAATTACCCTCTGTTTGCCTTTTAGCTTCATCCCCTTGAACATACTCACACCAGTCATTCTACAACAGTTCCTGTCAAAAAAAATAAGTAAAAATTATATGTATAATTGTGTGTGTGTGTATATATATATATATATATATATATATATATATATGTGAATATGTATATGTATATGTATAGCCTTAGAGTATACTCAAACTAAATAAAGATGATGATTGCGCGGTCACCCGGTGTTAAAAGCTTACCCACAACATCATCTTATCTTGATCTTGACAAGGCACGCACAACAACAGACATTTGACCCTTCTATAATAAAGCTAACATTTCTTGTGCAAATAATAGTTAGCCCAATAAAGGAGAATGGGATTGAAAAATCAAATGGAACTGTTCTATTTTTGAAAAATAATGAATTTATTACCGATCATTTTGGGTATTTGACTATAAAATAAAACAATTCGGTACTTCGTATATAAAGGGTTTATTTGATTTAGTTTTTTTTTAGAATGATTTTTTAATTTATTATTTTATGAAAACTGAAAATTATCATTAAGGACCTTGTGGCTTAGTGGTATCTTTTCTAAAGTAGTCTTCAAAGGTATGCCAGTAGTGTGTGTTTCTTGCCAATGATTTTCTACTTTTTAAGTTCTTTAAGAATATATTTTTTTTTTAAATAGAAAACTGAATAAAAAAGTCTCGAAGTGTTGCGACCTTGTGCTATAGATGTTAATTCTATCTCTAAATGGTATTGAGGTTTTTTTGGGTAAAACTCAAAAACAAAATCATTTGGGATCAAAGTGGAGAATATCATGCAATGTAGTGGAGTGAGCTGTTACAAATGGTATTAGAAACGGAGCTTAATTGAAAAGTGTAGCCAATAGGAACGTTAGCCCCCTAAAAGGAGGTGATTGTGGCGATTTATGTAAACGTGTCAATGGAGTGGATCCGATCCGAATCTGATCCGATTAGTCGGATATGGATTGAACAAAAAATCCGATAATCTGATTACAATCCGAATTCAATAATCCATTAGCTTAACAAATTGGATATGGATTATACTAATCCGATTCGATTAAAATTATATATATAAATAATTATATATATAATTATTTATCAATAATTTTACATATATATATATATATATATATATATATATATCAATACTCCTATTAAAATTGTATTAGAGGTAATCCAAAAATCCGAAAAAAAAAATAAAAAATCGTAATGTTATATATACAATAGTGTGGTGTTCTCATCCACATGCTAATAAATTTCTTAATATACATGCTAATAATATCATACTATTTATTTATTAACAAAGAGTAAATAATTTACAATATACTATATGAATGTTATATATATTAGTTATATATTACTAAATTTATATATATTAATTATTTATCATTATATTCATTTGGTTGCATAGTTATATTATGTAGCATTCTATATATTAGCAATTCTCCGCTTTATTGAACTTTATAATTATATATATTAGTAACTATGATTTAATCCGAATTTGATTCGATTCGAATCCGAGCTAAATAAAATATGAATTGGGACATTCAGTCTGAGAATCGTTAGTGATTTGAATCCGATAATTCGTTTGCTTAACAAATCAGATATGGATTTGATCGATCCAATCCATTGACAGGTCTAGATTTATGTGGCCAAGTGAGAATAGACATTGAATGAGTTACAGGTTGTATAATCCTACATCGTGAGTGAAGTTGAAAAGGGTAAAGGTGGGGTGCTTATATATATTGGTATTATCTCCAAACATACATCGGGAAGTGTGGCCATTGGCCAATGAGGACTTGGGCCCCCAAGGGTGGGGTAATTGTGGCGCCCCTAAGGGAAAGGTGAGGCAAGGCTGCACAATCTCACATTTCTGTGAAGGTGGAAAAGGTGTAGCCGATGTGCTTATATATATTGGTGCTATATCTAATTGATTGAGGCCTTTTGGGTAAAATTCAAGAACAAAATCGTGTAGACTAAGGCTTACAGCAAACAATATTATTATATCATGTGGTGGTACGAGGCATTTTGGGCTCGAGCATAAAGCGTACAATATCATAGCAGCTGGAAGTGTGACTAACGAGAACGTTGGGCCCTAAAAGGAATGATTGTGACAATCTTCCGGGCGAGTGCGAGATGCTGACAGGGTACGGGTGCACAATCTTTTGTTGTGTGAAAAAAGTAAAGTTAAAATGCTTATATGTGCTAGATTCATATGTAAATAATATGAGATCTTTTGGAGCAAAATTCAGAAACAAAATCTTGCCGCGTCCGATTCAAAATGAACAATATCGTGTTACCAGCTGTTACAAAGAGTTTCTTGAATCAAAGTAAAAATAGTGTAGTTACTATAGCCTACATAATTTAGCAAATTAGTTTACTACAGATGAACATATTTAGCAATTATACGTGTGTGTGTGTGTATACATATATATATATGTACACGTGCATACACCCACTAAAGTGGTAATTATATTTCAGCAAATAATAATGGAAATTAATGGTAGGTAAGGTGGTTGCAATGTTTTCTGAAATGGGCATAGGAAGCGTGGGAAGAGGAAAAGGGAATGGCACATGCTTGGTGTGTGTATGTGCGCGTGTGCATGTGTGTGAGAGAGAGAGACTGGTGGGAATTAAAATGCGCTAGGCGCACTAACTCATAGAGTGCAACAAAAATGGAAAAGAAAACGCACAAAAGGAACATTTTTGAATCAAAACCAAATACTCAGCCAAAAAAGCAGCCCCCACCTCAGCACTCACCCATCATTCCTATCAAGAAAGAGCTCTCTCTCTCTCTTCTCTCTCTCTCTCTCTCAACAAACCACAATCACATCCTCACCATTCCCACAAAACAAATGCATTCCTTCACTCTTGTCATTACTCTTTTAAAACCCTTGTCAAATTAGTGTAAATTTTTGGCTAATTTTCTTATTCTATGAGTTGGGCCTAATCTTGATGATGGGTTTTTTTGTTGCTTTTTGTGTTGAGTAGTAAGTAGGACTTGTTTGGTTGTTCTTGGTTTTTGTAAAATGGGGAATTGCTGGTGTAGAAGGAAATCTTCAGTATACAGAGTCTCCTCCAACACAAAGTCTGGTGGGTTTTCTTTCCTTTATAAAGATTTGCTTTTTCTATTTTGATTGATTTTCTGTTTTGGGCTTTTAACTTGTGATTCCAGAGATGGGTTTTTTTTCTTTATAAATTTCCAATTGAAATTAGTTGAAAATGATATGAACTTTGCATGAAGTAATCATCCTCTGCTTTTGCTCTGTTCTTGTTCACTCTGCTTTTGGTTTCTTGTTTGATTTTGATTCTCTTTCTGCACAAAGTTGATTTGGCTTTTCCCAGAAAATTTTGGCGAAAAGTATTTTGTTTTTGTAGGTAATAAAGTTGGATCTTTTTTTCATAATATCTTAGTTCAATTTGCTATTTTAAAGTAAAAATAAAAAAAATTGTACTAAGACAATGATAGTTTCTAAAAAATATTAGGTTAAAAAAATGATTGTTTTTTGACTCCTTGATCACTGTTTTTAGAAAACTGCACCAAACACGCCCAAATTTGCTATTTTAAACTAAAAATCAAAAAATTGTACAAGAATATGATTGTTTTTAAAAATATTAGGTTAAAAAAATAAAGATTTTCTGAATTCTTGAGAATTGTTTTTAGAAAACTGCGCCAAACACGCCCAAACTTTTCAGTGTGCTTTTGGGTTTTCTGTTTGGGTTTATTCCCTTTCTTCACAAAGTTGATTTGGCTTTTCTATAAAATTTTAGCAAAAGGGTGTGTTCCTGAAAATTATTTTTGTTATTGGAACTAATAGGGGTTGAATCTTCTGTTCATGTAATATTTTATTTCATTCTTTTTCTGTTTTTGCAAAGTAAATTCTATAAAATCTAGCAGGATTCTTTGTTGTGGGTTAGGTAGGTATCTTATAGCATTTGAATTGGAAACAGGTATGAATTGGACAAGCTTACTATTCTCAACCTTTTTCTTTTTGCCCTCTTTTAAAGAAACTTTACCTTTTCCCCCCTCATGTGGTACATTGATTTATGTCAGTCATATCTTAGTTGTTTGTACTATTACTGTTAGTGTAGCTTTCAAAAATTTATTATTGCCTCAAATTGAATATTATTACTATTATTTTCTTCACTAATTTATAGATGTTTTCCATTTACTTTCCTTTACACAAATTATATTATGTAAAAGTTATTTTTTTCAAAAATAAATAAAAATAAAAATCTTTCCTTTTTTTTTTTTTTTTTTTTGAGAAAAAAAAGAAGAGAAAAGAATTTTGTTCAGTTTAAACTTTTATTATTGTTAAATTAACATTATGCTTCTCAATATTGATCCAAGATCAAACAATGACCTCCAGAGTATTCTTGTATCGTAGCTTAGATATTAACTAAGCTTCGAATTAAGCCAGCACTTAATATTAAAAGAAAAACTAATTGGCATTAATTTTGGACTTGCTTTTGAATTTCTTTTCTTACCAATCAAAAGGTAGATAACTTGGCAAAGTATAATTTACATTGATATAATCGTAGGCTGTCAAAGTCAAAATCACTAGCTAACATAAGTGTTGTTCTAATCTTTGTACATTGGTGCTTTTAGTAAGTAGTGAATAATGACAAGATAAATCTGACTTGTACTCTGTTTAGTAGTAATTGAAAATTGGATATATGTTTACATATTCTCCAATTTTTTCTTTTCAGAGTCTCCGAAAGATCAGAGCCCATCAGTGAAAGCAAGGAAGGATGATAGTAAGCTACCATCAAATCCTGAAGAAGTAGAACACCTGCGTCGTAGTTGGGCTACAAATCACTTGATTGTGTTCACATTCGATGAACTAAAGATGATTACCGGAAATTTTAGGCAAGATCGCTTGTTGGGTGGAGGAGGATTCGGAAGTGTTTACAAAGGGTTCATCAATAATGATTTAAAGGAGCGGCTTCAGCCCATTCCTGTAGCTGTTAAGGTTCACGATGGCGTTAACAGTTATCAAGGTCATAGAGAATGGCTGGTAATCTCATATTAAAATGCTTTTGCTTCTTTTTTTATAAGTGAAGAACCTATTGGAATGCTTTATCTCTCAGTTTTACTTAAGGTTTTGTGCAATTTTAGGCTGAAGTGATATTTCTGGGGCAACTTTCTCATCCAAATTTGGTGAAATTGATCGGATACTGCTGCGAAGATGAGCACCGTGTACTGATATATGAGTACATGGCTCGGGGGAGTGTGGAAAACAATCTTTTTTCAAGTAAGTTATTTCATGGCATCTTCATTAAGATGAATTCCCGCAGACCTTTTTCTCCATTTTCATGTTAGTTTTTAAATGATCAGGAAATAATGAAGCTGATAACTAAGGCAAAATGTACAATAAAAAAGTGAATAAATTTGTCCCTACCCAATAAAGGTAGTGTGTAAAATCTCAGTCATTAATTTTCCTAGCAAAGTAGGAAGTGAGTCAGTTAAGATCAAAAGGAAAATTTTCACTTTAATTGCACAGATTGATGTGACCATGGAAAAATAGTTTCAATGACATCAAAAATTGTGACTAAAAGTAAATAATGGATGGTTGTGATAGTTATAGTGTCCAAATTTCATTATACTGCATAACAATTTGTAGCTACCACCTAGAGATACAATGCCAATGCTTTGGCACATTAAGTAACTTGACCAAATTTGTTACACACAACCATGTGACTCCATACTGAGCAGAGCCATAGAGGCAAAAGGGTTTCAAATCTGATTGCATCCATAAATGCACAGAGTGTAACTTTTTGCCTGATTTGCATTGGGGACCAACAAATCTGACCATTTGTGATTTTCCCACTTTACCCCTCTAATGGTTGTCAATTACCCACTCAACCAACAGATTGGATATGCCACCTCATGCTTTATGACTAAAATACCCTTCTAATGATCAAGATACTCCTAAAAATTCTAACTCCTATCCACCCCCCCTCACCTCATTCATAATTTCATACACACAATTCTGTTACCAACACATTCCTCACTTCAAGCTCAAGTCTATTGGTCTTTACAATCCCTTGAACACTTAAAAGAACTTCTTGAGAAATAAAATCATGAGGATCAAGTGAAGAAAAATGAGAGCCGAATGGAGAAATGGGATTCATGCAGCCGATCCCAAGTAATTGGGAAAAGGCTTCGTTGTTGTTGTTGATGTTGTACGATCAAGTGAAGAAAAATGCAAAAAATGGAAGAAGGGGTCCTCCAGTTTGATTTTTTATTTTTATATTTAGTCAAATTAGGTTAATGTCTTTTGCTATTTACAATTTAACACCTTCTCTCTACTTCTCCAAGTTTTCTTTGTATTTGCAGCATTATTTTCTTTTAATACCCAAAAGTAGTTGAAGTTTGGCTTGTTTAGTCAAACTTGGGCACATTAAGCAACACACAAACCCATTTTTTTCCCACCTGGACCAAGGGCCTCTGGTGGTCATTTAAGCCTTATTTTCTTACTAATGGTTTAATAAAATTATTTTCAGTAAAAATTATGGTGCAATACTTCCCATTAAGCCAATGTATAGTTTAGGGTTGCTTTTGTGAAATCACTTCCCATTATGCCAAGGTATGGTTTTGGCTTTTGGGTGATCATTTGATGTAGTGACTATACTCGGCGCTCTATAAATAATTGGAGACACTACAAATTCTAATTAATAGAATCATTAAGCATTAAATTCTCCTTTATGCAAAACAGGTAGCACTATACTTTCAATTGTATTTTAATTTTTTTTTTTTATATATATTCTGTATCTTATGCTTACTAAATTCAGCTTTAAGGAAAGGAAAGGAAAGGAAAGGAAAAATATCATATTCATTAAATTAAATTGCTAACAAAAAATCTTGGTTGGGAAGGCAAATTATCCTATGTATTTTATTGCTTACGAACTTTATTGGCCTATATATAGCATATGCAAGAATATTATCAAATTTTACTTTATTTGAGTATGTATTATTTTACATACATTTCCAAACTATAATTAGAAATACAGTATGTTATTCATGAAATTTTTAGATAAAAGATAGAATTTTTAATTATCTACCACATGACCAGGTTGATTCCTCCAGGTATTATTGATATTAGAATTACTAAGTTATTAAATGAATCATTGGAGGGTTAACAATAAAAGGCTAGGATATAATGACCTACACGGAATGTTGGGAGGTAGAGACTTGAGAAAGACCTAACATTTAACATAGTTTTGCACAAAGTGATTGCTGCAGTTTGAACTTGTCCTCACACTCATCAGTTCAAGCTTTTATCATTGTACCAAGCAATTTAGGATTTTTAGCTGAAGATAACTGTCCAATTTGAGCAACAATTATAGTTTTGTATTTGAAAGCAACTAAGAGAGAGTTTGACTTATTTAGCTTCTAGAATGATTTTTAGAAGACTTCTTTTGGATGTATTTTTCAAAAAGAAGAAGAAGAAGGAAAGTCATGGTATTTAGGGTGGTGCCTACTTCTTGTTGGTTTAATTCAGTGGTGAAAGTGCTTAAATTTAGAGAATTCAAAATGATCCATATATGGTTGGTTTGGCTGGATTTGAATTCTTATGGCCGCGAGAAAGGCATTGGAGGGCTATGTTTGATTTCCATTAATCTTTAAAAATAAAATATGAGCCAGTGAAGCTCTTTCCAGATGTAATCCTACAAAAACGTTTTTCAAATTTTCATCATTAAATCTAGTTAATTTATTCATTGGTGGATACGCAATGCGTATCGTATTACTTGGTTTGGCTTTTTTTTTCATTTCATTTGGGTTTTTAAGTATTTTGGTTGCACTAATATCTATATTTTTTCTTCATTACTGCAGGAGTTTTGCTTCCTCTTCCATGGTCAATTAGAATGAAAATTGCATTTGGTGCTGCAAAAGGACTTGCTTTTCTCCATGACGCCGAGAAACCTGTCATCTATCGTGATTTTAAAACATCTAATATTCTATTAGACCTGGTAAGTTGTCAAATGATCTGCATTTGACTTTCTACTTCCACAATGTTAAGTTACTTAGTTTTCAGTGAAAAATGAAATGACAGAAGGTTGGGTGTCTGATTCTGTTGTATGAGGAGTTTGATTATGATGGTTAACATGAGAACACTATAACTCTTGAACTAATGCATAAAATAGAGTGAATAAAATTGATCCAGGCCCTATTTTGTAAAAGTGACTTCTAGGGAAAAGAAGGTCAAAGGATAGCACTGCTGAACCAAATTTCCCTCATCCACTTTACCATAATGTTAGATGCAGTCTCATTTACAACTTAACTTTCATTTGAGGACTATGTTTGATTGACTCAAATAGTCATTAAAATATAAGGGTTTTTATTTTTATTTTTTTTGTGTGTGTGTGTCTTTGTGCAACAGAGGGTTTCATGTTTCAGACAATTATAGTCATCTCAATTCTCATCTTCACCAGCTTTTAGTTAAAACTGTGGGTTGCATTGAATATTCAATGACAGGACTATAATGCAAAGCTCTCTGATTTTGGCCTTGCAAAAGATGGACCGGAAGGGGATAAATCTCATGTCTCTACTCGCATAATGGGGACATATGGATATGCAGCGCCGGAGTATATCATGACAGGTACATTGACATCCCTACTAGAACATGTTGCGTCTCTCCGTGAGCCAATCTTCTGCACTAAAGGAGCCTCCGGAAAAGTGAAAATCACTTTATTTTGTCCCTCATTAATGGCTAAAGCATGTTAACTTTGTTCTATCCTGCATTTGAAGTGAATCGAGCAATTTCTCTTTTGCTTATTCCGAGCAAGAATATTTTGGGATTTCAATGAACTGATGCCATTTCAAAAGCTATAATTTGTGGTGATGAGTTCATTTTCTTCTTTATTTTCCTGATTTCCTCCTTTTCTTCTTCGTTATTTTAGTATGAAAGCCATTCTAAAGAATCATTTCTATGTAAGCTCTACGTTTAATCCGTTATGTCATTCGCTCTTAAACGTACTCTCAAGTAGTCCGTTAAACCTTAACCAAGGGTTGTAGCCCAGTGTTACGCCCTCTACCTTCCAAAGTGGAAGGTGATGGTTTAAGTACCCCCAACAAATGGGTGTGTGAGTTTCTTTCAAAAAAAAATGTAATAATAAGTAGTCCGTTAACGATCACTTAATGGCCATAGGAAGGCATTATTTCTTTTTGATTTTGAACTGTCACTAAAGCCAGCTCTCTGTTGTGCAGGCCATCTGACTCCTAGGAGTGATGTCTACAGCTATGGAGTTGTTCTTCTAGAACTCCTCACAGGAAGAAAATCTTTAGACAAATCCCGACCAGCCCGGGAACAAAACCTTACAGATTGGGCTCTCCCTTTGCTTAGAGAGAAGAAGAAATTGCCGAACATTGTAGATCCAAGATTAGATGGAGATTATCCGATTAAAGGAGCTCAAAAGGCAGCCATGCTAGCTTATCATTGCCTAAACCGCAACCCGAAAGCAAGGCCTCTAATGAGAGACATTGTAGATTCCTTGGAGCCACTCCAGGTTGCTGATGACTTATTATCAACTGAGAAATGTACTTTCACTGTGATTTGTGAGAGTCCAAATGCAGAGTTTCAAAGAAAAGAAGATGCACACTGTAACTGACATGCACGTCGGGTTTTTTCTCAAGCTTCTTCTCCAACTTTGACATAGTTTTTTAGCATTATGTATTACTTTTCTACTGTGTATCTGAGAAGAGAAATATGCAACATTTTTTTTTTTTAGGGGTTAGAATATATGGTCTACAGTTATCAGCAGTTGGTTTATATGGGAATACATTACTAATGAAAAAAGAAATATATTTGAAAGAAATTTGCTTCCCCCAATGTGTTTCTAGTCTTGGTTTTGACAGTGATATAGAGACGTGCTGCATAATAAACTCAAGATTTTGAAACAAATTAAATGAAACTCACAATATAAATAATGCTTATGGAAGTTGCTTTCAAATAAGCCTGGCCCACATGAAGATGAACACCATGCAGAAAGGATTAGAGGAAAAAGAATTTGACGTAGAGGAAGTTATGAAAGTTCACGAATCAAACATAGAACAATGTATGAATCTAAATATATTCGGTAGTATATTATTTATACTGAAAAAGAAATCTCAACAACAAAAAGAAAGTTACAAATAATTCAATTTAAATCTCTATGAAAAAATGACAAAAATAAGAATAAAAACCTAATCAATACAATAAATTGACTATCAAAATTCAGTTTAATCCGAGTCCAATTTGACCACTAACAAAAATTTCAAAATTTTTATGATGTCTTCCTATAACACCCGAAAAATGAGAAAACCTAAAAAGTGAATTGTTATATATGGTATGAATTTTAATTCATTTTATACTTAGATCTATTTTATTACACTGACTAAGGATTCATAAACAACCCTACGCTAAATAGTTTTTAAAAATTCAATAAAAATCACTAAGATTCACTAAAATTCTATTTTTATTGAATTATTTTATAAAAAGTAACCTATTAATGCATTTCATAATTTATATTGAGGTAAAAAAAAAAAAAATTTCCGACTGCAATAATCGATTCTTTTATATTTATGCCGATCCTTGTCCATTACATCATGTCCGCATCCGCAATTGATAACTCAAATGGAAATTTAAAAGAATCACTCCTGAAATCCAAAAGCATCTACTGTTGTTGAAAACTCTGTGTGTGTGTGTGTGTGTGTATTATCTTCAACTTATGTTACTTTAAGGATAAGGCTCAAGCCCAAATGGTGGGGTATTGTTTTTGTACTATGAATTAAATAGATATCCACCTCAATGAACAGAGTTTAATAAAGTCGGTTTGGGCGGTTTGTGTTTTTTAATTGAGTCAAGTACAGATAGATACACGCGCTTTTTTTTTTTTGGGTGAGTAATACATGTGCTTTTATCTTCGTTTTCTCTTTGTTTTTCCCTCTAACCTCAATAAGTGCTACTAGTATTAACTAATATGTTTAAAGGAAAACAGGCAAGCCTATTTTAAAAGTTTGGGATTACAAAACTTTCCTTATTGTTAACACCCTCTCCTTTCTTCTCTTTTCTTCTCTTCTTTCTTAACGAAGAAAATAAGGCATGATCTCATCTCTCCTCTTTCGTTCGACCAAACAAAATGCGAAAAATATAATCTCTACCCTCGTCTGATTCATCTATTCTCTCACTTCCATTCAAATGTAATTGCCTTACCAAAAGCTAAGCAAGGTTAGTCTAATGGGCCAGACACTTGCCATCAGTCTCAAAAGCTTAAATTTTGGCTTATGCTGCATATTCGCCCTTATAATTTCGAAATCCTATCTATTCAGATTTGATTGGGACAAAAACCCTCTAACATTTTTTCCCATTTGAACCTAAAATACTCTCATTCAAGGTCTGGGCTTGCTCTAATACCACCTATAATTGATTGGGCGCTTGCTATCCATTCCAAAAATTTAAATTATTGAGTGATACTACATACCCGGCCACCCTTATAAACTCAAGACCTTCCCTTTGAGTATGTGAGACAAGAGCTAGCTCTCTAACAACTAACATAGTGCATGACATTCTAGTCATTATAAGATTTAAGGAGAGTAAGATATATGTAATTTTAATGAGGTTGTTCACATTTTGAACGAGTGACCTCTAGACTTGAAGTCACAGTGAAGTAACTTTAACCAAAATGTTCATTACTTGATTAAATTTATATAAATTACGACGACTCACGGAGACTTAAATTACACACCCACACGCACATAGATTATAAAACACAAACAACAATATATCATATTTATTAAAACACAACGAGTCAAAGCAATATGAACAATATATCAATCAATAATAAAAACACAAATTTTTCATTAAAATGACTAATACATCAATTTGAATAACATAGATAAAACAATGAGTTTAGAATTTCAACAATACGCATGTGTACAAATAATTCAACAATTATAAAAATTAAGGAAAACAATAATAATAAATTAAGTAGGAAAGAAGTGAATAATGAGAGGCAAGCAAACACTATTTTAAAATCGTACGATGTCCCTACATCAGGTGATATCAGTTCAATACGACTTCAAGATACAATTCATATACTTATGTGGTCGATCTTCTCCAGGCACGTCCGAAGAGAAACAACGTTATCCTAGTTTTATCTTCAAAGTTGCCCCAATTGCAATATAAAATACTACCATAGAATAAGGAAGGAGACAAAGAAATAGGTTTCTACGAATAGGCTCACAACCTTGCACCACTATATCACTCAATATATGACATTGCATATATGGAATGGTAGACAGCTCATTTTATATACTTCAAACCTATAACGGTTTTATATCATGCATTAATATAGAATTAATATATAATGAAATAATGAGTCCTGGTCTCTTGCTCCCACTGGAGTAAGAAAATTAATTCACATTTTTTATATAGACCCCGTTCAAACCCACCTATAGCCTTTCCTTTTAACACAAAACCACTCTCACCCTATTTTTAGTTTATATATTTAATTTTACCATTACCACCTACTGTAACAATAAAAGGTTGAAAAAAAAAAAATACCAGTATATTTTACTAAAAATTTGTTTTTCTTTAGATGTTTCTTTGAAATAAATATTTTTGCTGCTCACTTCACCTCTATTTTTCACATTTATGTCAAACAAAAAGATGAAGTTGCATTCTTAGAATTGTTAAAAAACACACTGGATACATTTCATGAATCACTGAATGCCATGAATGCAAGTAAAATTGGAGGAAAAAAATGCTTCATCATTAGAAAATCAATGTGACATTCATCTACAACAAACCTTTAATGATCCTCTTCAAGTTAGAGCAAAAGGATGTGGTAAATGTTTGAGGTCATAGAGAGAATAAAAAGATAAATCTTGGACATTGTCATGATTGTGGAGAACTTCGACAGTCACATGACAAAAGAAATTGTCCAACGCTTATTAATAAGTGGGCATTATCTCATGCTTGTTATTATTACTTAATTATGAAATTAATTAGTGTTTCACATGCATTTTTTTTCTTTATTTTAGGTCTACTATAAACAGCAAGGAGAATATTTCTTATGGGTCAGAACATATAAATGGATGATGGATGTAATTGAATATATTCAAGGTTTGCATTTGAATTTTTTTCATTATTTTGTAATTTTTTTTATTTGCTTTCTTGGCAATAATAATTCCGTTTATTTCATCTAAGTCAATATATATGTGTGTGTGTGTGTGTGTATATATATATATATATATATATATATATATATGCTTAATTATTAATTTGTTGTTGAAATTATTTTATTCAGGTTTACACGAAGTGGAGAGATATTTCATTAATTTTGAAAATATGAGGAAGAGCAAACGGATGGATTGGAGTTTGCAGGTTTTGAGGCCTAAATGTCTTTTATTTGGCTTTACTTTTATTTGTCGTGGAAGAGTTTACTTGAAGGCTTTAATGATTAAATGTTTTTAAATTTTGTTAAGTTTCAGCCTTTTATGAAGAGATTAAAATTTTTGTTTTCGTTTTATTTAGTTTAAGTTTGACAATTTTGAATAAAGTGAATGTCATGGGATTCCATTATTCAGTTGTATAATATTGTCATTCACACATACATGCACAAATAACTATAACAATAATACTGCTTCTCATGAGAGCTTTGGTCCTGAAACAACATGAAACACATCTGAATCCCAGAATCGTGCACACCGCTTAACATTTCAGCTGCATCTTTCCCAATGCATTTTCAGGCCTCTTGAAAACCCACATAGACATATTATCCATATCACATGCTAAACCATGAAAACATCAAGCTTCAAGTCTGATTTATCATTTCCACCAACCCCATTACTCTCCCAAGCGATCTTACTCTTTGATTTCTCAACCAGGCATCCCAGACACTATCAAGCCTCTTAGCACATTTCTTCCCAATTTTTGTGACATTAACATTTGTCCCAGCCACATAATGCTGAGACCCAAGGTTAACATCTAAGATTATCTCAATTATCATTCCACAGCGGAGGCGGTGGGCTAGGCTCAGCTGATAGTTTATATCCAATGGTCGGGATAGATTGATGGCTTGATTCAATCCATTTCTTCGTACGTTTACTGAATTTGAATCCATGGATAAAAGTGTGGACAAATGATTGCTCTCTATGAATAAGGTTGTGAGAAGAGCTTCACCCATTTTTTTTGGGTTACCTTGTTGTTTCTGAGGTGAATTCTACCGTCTCACCATAATCAGTACATCATTATCATCCAATAATCAAACTCACAAATTCACAGATTCAATAATATTGAATTTCACTAAATGCCCAACTAAAATTGAAATAGAAAGAACTTTTGTTCAAACTTTAAATGAAATTTTCTTCAATTTCAATTTCAATAAATCAATTTGATATTCCAAAATACAACATTACAGTATATTTGTTGGTAAATTTACTTATACTAGAGAAGTACATTAATTTACTTATACTGAGAACAACAAGATGTTTCTTAGGAAAATGCTATAATATCATACTATTGTTGCAAAATTGAAAGATATGGTATTGTTTTTCTTTCAAACAAACATCCAAAGAAAAACAAATTTTTAGTAAAATATACAGGAATTATTTTTTTTTTCAAAGGTTTCTATTTTATTTTGGTAATTACTTTTATGGTTATGGTAATGGTAAAATTAAATATAAAAACTAAAAATAGGGTGAGAGTGATTTTGTGTTAAAAGGAAATACTATAGATAGGTTTGAAAAATGACCGTTAGATCTAACGATCTATATAGAAAGTATGGATTAATTTTCTTATTCCATAGGAAGCAAGAGATCAGGACTCATGAAATAATAATAGGAATCAATAATATCAAAATAATATTTTGATAATATTTATGATTTTTATTAAATGATAATAACTTGTTCTAAGCTTGTTTAAGCTAAATGGTAAAATTAGATTAAAAATATGTAATGGTAAATTACACCGACCTCCCTCGAAATTTGGACAAATTACACTCGATTAAATCATTTAACGTTTGTTATTTTAATATCCTTTGAGATTTGAGGCGTGTGTTTAACAATACTTCTAATATTTTTTTTTTAGATAAATTTGTTGATTAAATTTATGTTCTGTTTGGTAGGATGGAAAAAATTTAGATGAAAAAGAAAGAAGAAGAGATAAATAAAATATTCTTAAAAAAGAAATTATGTCATTCCCTTTTTCTATTTGACTAAATTAAAAGATATTAGTGTAATTTACCTAAAATTAAACATCAATATTATTATTATTATTATTATTATTTTGTTGATGATGTGGAAATTTTCGTAATTATTCGTAATTATTCGTCCTTCAAACTTATAACTATTAGGGAAACCCTCAGTTACCTATTCCGATCCCACAATAAAAGTAGCAACGAAGTCAAAAAACTTACAGAGCTGAAGGAAAAACGAACCCACTTCCAAATACTAAATTTAGTGGTCCCCTCTCACCAACTCGATCTGCTAGGGCCGCTGGGGTATTAAACATCCATATTGTTTACGCTGCATGGTACATTTGTACAATAATTATGAAAGATATACGAAAAGTCTGTAAAATTTATTCACAATTAAATAGCCGCCAGAGCAGATAAACAGTACCAGATAAGCAATTGCGTAAGCGATGACGTCACTATGGTGACATCACTTGCACATGTCCTCTCAAGATCTTGTCGTTTCCTCTTCATTAGTTTAGTTTATTTTTCCAACTTTCAAGGTGGTGTAAGAATAATGGTGTTCACATGCAATCAAGTGTAGCGTAGTGTGTGTGTATATATATATATATATTTATTTATTAAAAAAGTTATATTTTTATTTGGAGGGTCCGCAAATTAGTAGTTTACGTAATACGTTTTTGTTTTATTTTACGTAATACGTTTTATTTTAGTTTTAGATGGGATGGTTTTCTTCTGTTTTTGAAGAGTTGGAAAAGTTATATTTTGGTGATCAAAATTAAATATAATTGATGAAAAGTGATAAGAAAAAATGAATAGTTATCAAACTTAAAACTTAATTATTAATAAGTGACCATTTAATGATTCATTACCTAAATAACCTTTTTATAATATATTATTATGTAAGTGAATAAATTTATCCTGTACATTAAACTAAATAGACACTTACTTAAATTGACTAACAAAGAAACCACATTCTGTACTCCTGACCTTAGAATCATTCAGAAAAAAAAAAAAATATTAAAACAACAAAGTGAGAAGGACGCCTCTATAAATATTATATAAAGAGTATTTTGGGATGAAACTTCTTTTCTTGATTTGTCATTGTAAATTTTATGTTTTGCGATTATGGTGGAGTGCTTTGGAAAAGAGAATGTTCATAAAGAAATCTTAATTTTTTAAATTGAAAATTGGAAACTAAAAAGGAAAAAAGAAAACGTTGAATGAGAGAGAGAGAGTGGGGATGAATTTAATGAGTTATTATTTGTATTGGATGTCAATTTTGTCATCTAAAATTTATTCTTAAAATATTTATCAAATATTTAAATGTTTTTGACCAAATTATCCTTAAATGGTCACTTAATATTAATTAAGTTTCAATATTGGTTACTAAGCATCCTTTCTTGACTTTAAGGTCATTATAAAGTAATTATGTGTAATTTTGGTCATCAAAATATATATTTTTTAATTTTTTATAGTGACAAAAATATAATGAATTTTATTTGAAAAGTTTATTTAAGTAGGTAAAATTAAAATTAGGAATAGGTGATATATTTGGAAATTTATCCTTCTAAAATAAATAAATAAATAAATAAAAGCTGATTGAAAAAGATTCAAATGGAGTGTTTATAAAATTTGTGCCACATGTTAAAATTTGAAAAAGACACTTGACCTTCCTTATTCAATGTTTTCCATATTGTCTTCTGTCTTGTAATCCATCGGATGGCTCACAACACACCTATTCGGTGCAACACGATAACTTAGAGAATCTCAACTCTAAACTTGACCTCATAGAAATGGCAAACCTATGTTCCCCGGATGAAAGACAATAACTCGATCTCTCTCTCCGTCTCCCTCTCCCTCTCTTCATTTCTGGTTTTTCTAGATGTGGATTTGAGGTTGAACAAGAAGCTTTCTTCTGTATAGTTCTGAGAGTTTCATCCATTTATGTATGTATTCTTCCTTCTTGATTTACTACTAGTTTGTTTCTCACTTAAGCTTGTACATCCTTGATCCTTCTTATAGGCAGTTTTTTTCTTTTTATATATATAAATATATATTGTATACATGAAATTGTTGCATTTCCAGTATTTTATGTGGATTTGGAGTGAACCACTTTTTAAATTATATATTTACTTTTATTAAAAGGAAGGAAAAAAGAAAAAGAAAAAAAAAGGATAACCTTTGTGATGTGAGGGGTTAATTTTGCATAGGTTGCTACGGATCCCGATAAGAGTGACAGATCTACTAATTTGCCAAATCATTGAATGGTGACTATACATAGAGAGAGAGAGATAGAGAGAGAGAGAGAGAGAGAGAGAGAGAGGAAACTGTGAAAGTGTACTGTATATGATACAAGTTTGATGGTCAATTAATATACATAGATAGATCTGGCTGAATATAGCTAGAATACTTTTTTATCCATCACGTACTGTATGTTAAATAATAAAGTTAATTATTAGCAGGCATTGATATAAGGATATAGTCTGTTTAACAGATTCATGAACATAAATTCTCTTTGCTGTAAATTTCTCTCTGTTCTTCTATATAAATTTTACTTAACAAAAATAAAAATAAAAAATAAATTCATGAACAGCCATTCATTCTCAGTAAGAGAACGATACTCATATTTTAATACACAAAAATACTAATTAATTTGCTCTATGTTTATGTGGTGGGGGTTGGATATACTAATTTGTTCTGTGATTCTTTAGTCACACACACACACACACACACACACACATATATATTTCTAGCTTATGGTTCGCCTCCAAATATATATCCCATTCCCTACCACTTCTTGCTTTATTCCTAGTTAATTTTAAGCATAGTCATTATCATCAATTTTTTTTTTTTTTCGAAAAAAGGCTGGTAAAATATATGTGGGCTTAAATCATATGTGAAATACAAATATAAAACAGACATATATATATATATATATATATATATATATGTCTGTTTTATATTTGTATTTCACATATGATTTAAGCCCACAAAATGCATCTTGGCTTTATGTATTTTGTGAAACCCATTGCTCTGTCTCTCTCGCACACACATGCATGTCTTGTAGACTTTATATATGTGTGTGTGTGTCTCTCTCTCTCTCTCACACACACACACACACACACAAACACACACACGCATGTCTTGCTTGTAGACTGTATATATATTCATTTCGTGCATGACGAGGACAATTTAGTGTAATATCCTTATTTTTTAATAAATTAATTTATTGAATGGGGTTTTAACTAAGTTAGTGGAAAAAAAAAACATGTAATTTATACGAGTTTGACTTGGACTTATATATATATTACAAGCTTTTTTTTTTTATTTTTCTTTTTTATTTTTGGGTAATTGATATATATTACAAGCTTCTTTTGGAAGCTTTTCATTTTTACTCCTATTGTGGTTTTGTGGAGTCTGATTAATTTTTAGAAAGATTTAATTATATGAAAATTTTAGATTTCTAATTTGTTTTGACTTTCTTATTGGTTTTGGACTCTACAAAAACAAGTTCTTGTAGGACAAGTTTGAGACTCTATATATATAACTCTAATAAGATTTTATGGTGTGAAGAAAAGTGAGAAGAAAAAAGAGAGAATCATCATATGTGTTGTATGATTGATTAATTTGTGCCAACACAAGACAGAGCAATTAAGAGAGATTGAGAGAACATTCTTCATTGTAATTCTTCATCTTTTTCGTATTGAATTTGTTCGGTGCGCTCCATGGACGTAGTCCTAAGATTTGGGTGAATCATGTATATCTTGTATTCTTGTGTGTGATTTTTATTATTCTTTGTGATTGCTTGATTATTTCTCGAACAACATTATTTATTTTGGGTTTCCGCCATAACAACTAGTATTAAAGTATCCGGTTGATTATGTAGCAACTCCAACAACTGGCATTAGAGCCTTTGGTTGAGAACCTAGGACACAGAAGGTGTTTGATGAAATTCCGAAAGTCTTTCGATCAAATTTGTCTGTTCGAGTGGAAGTAATGGCATCAGAAGATAAGACATCCACATTTATGATCGAGAAGTTCAATGGCACAAACTTCAATTTCTGAAAGATGCAAATAGAAGACCTCTTGTTTTAGAAAAATCTGCAGCGCCCTTTGGGAGAGAAGCTAGAGGATACAAAGGATGCAGAATGAGAATTACTTAATAGGATGGCTCTTGGCACCGTCAAATCGACATTGTTAAAGTCAGTTGCCTTTAACATCAAGAACAAGAAGACGATGAAGTCTCTCATTGCAACCCATTCTAGTTTGTATGAACAACTTTCTGCAACGAACAAGGTGCACTTGATCAAGAAGTTGTTCAACATAAAGATGGTTGAAGGTGGTAAGTTCAATGAACATCTAAATGCGTTCAACGAGATAGTTGGGCAATTAGAGTTTGTTGATATCGACTTCAAATATGAGGTTCGAGCACTGCTAATTCTAAGGCAGTTTACCTGAGAGTTGGAATGGCATAATTTCAGTGATTAGTAGCTCTGCAGGGAAGACCAAGTTGAAGTTTGATGAAGTTGTAAGCATGATTCTGACTGAAGAAATTAGAAGGCAAACAACAGGAAATTCCACCATTTGCATTGAATGTTGAAAGTAGAGGCAAGTGTTCAAATAAGAAGAAGGGCAACAATAATAGAAACAGAAGTAGATCCAAGTCAAGGAATGGAAGGACACAGTCGTAAAATTCCAGGAATACCATAAATCTCAGTGACATTGAGTGTTGGAATTGCGGAAAGAAGGGACATTGCTGTGTTGATCGCATACTTCCAAAGAAGGGAACCGAAAGAAAAATTGAAGCAAACGTTGTCTCAAAAGATCAGATGATGCATTGATATACTCTTTGGAGAGCAAGATGGAGTCATGGCCGGGTTTTAGATTTCAGCGTATCATTTCATGGCACCTCAAGCAAAGAGCTATTTAATAGCTATGAACCGGATAACCTTAGCAAGGTATATCTTGGTGATGATCAGCCTTGCAGTATCGTTGGCAAAAGTGTAAATCAAGTTAAATGGGTCAGCTTAGAAGTTGAAGGATGTGAGACTCCCTGACTTGAGGAATAATCAAATTTCGGTGGGACAATTGTCAGATGAAGGTTTTGTTACAACCTTCAATGGAGACTCATAGAAAGTTTCTAAAGCCGCTATGACCATTGCACATGGTAGGAAATCTGGTACTCTCTAAACAATTACCAGTGCTTGTAGGTCTATAACAGTTGCAGAAAATAGAGAAGATCACAGCCTTTGGCACCATAGACTAGGTCACATGAGTGATAGGGGCCGGGGCTCAAGATTATGTACTCGAAGGGGAAACTACCAGGCATGCGGGTAATTGATATTGACTTCTGTGAGAGTTACGTATTGGGTAAGCAGAAGAAAGTCAATTTCAAGAAGAGTGGAAGAGCTTTCAGAAAGGAAAAACTTGAGTTAGTTCACACAGATGTCTAGGGGCCAGCCACTGTCTCATCCATTGGAAGAAAATCCTATTTCGTGACTTTCATTGATGACCACACGAGGAAGGTATGGGTTTATTTTTTAAATCACAAATCTGAGGTATCTGATATGTTTAAGAAATGGAAAGCTATGGTGGAGAATGAGACAGGTTTGAAGATCAAGAGGTTGAGGTCAGATAATGATGGTGAGTATGAAGACACCGGGTTCAAGAAGTTCCGTTTTGATAATGTGATCAGAATAGCTAGAGAGGACTGCGCAAGGAACCTCACAGCAGAATGGGGTGACAGAACGGATGAACCGAACATTGACAGAGAAAGCCAGAAGCATGCACATACATTTAGGTCTACCCAAATAGTTTTGAGCAGAAGCAGTCAATACAACATCCTACTAATTAATCATAGACCATCGATGCCTTTGGAGCATCGAATACCGGAAGAGGTATGGAGTGGCAAAGAGGTAAATCTTTCATGGTTGAAAGTTTTTGGTTATATTGCATATGCACATATTAGTGACCATGCTAGGGGAAAGCTCGACCCCAAGTCACTAAAATACATCTTCATTGGGTATGACGGAGATGAGTTTGGTTATCAACTTTGGGATAATCAGAACAGGAAAATCATCAGAAGTAGAGATGTAGTTTTCAACGAGAATATGATGTACAAAGATAGAGATGCAGCACAGTCAACTAGTCCTGTACAGAGTAAGCCTGAGTTTATTGAGTTGGATAATGAGCCAGAGGGTATTATAGCAGAGCAGACAGATGAGGGTTCTTGGCCAGAACTCACAGAGTATAGTTCACTGCAGATTCCAACTCCTAAGCCTGCACCCAAAAGGTCCGCATATCCTCATGTACCGAATCAGCGTATATGGATTATATGTTACTCACAGATGATTGTGAGCCTGAATGCTATGATGAAACATGTTAGGTTAAAGATGCTAGCAAGCGGGAGCTTACAATGGAAGATGAGATGAAGTCCCTTATCTCCAACAAAATATGGGAACTAGCCAAGTTGCCCATGGGGAAGAAAGCTCTTCACAACAAATGGGTGTACAGGGTAAAAGAGGAATACGATAGTTCCAAGATATACAAGATGAGATTGGTGGTCAAAGGCTTTTAGCAAGAGCAAGGCATTGACTACACAGACATTTTCCCTGGTTTTGAAACTGAGTACCATTCGCTCAATTCTTAGCCTTGTTGCAGCAAAGGGGTTGCACCTTCAGTAGTTAGATGTCAAAATTACTTTCCTTCATGGTGACCTAGAGGAGGAGATTTACATACAACAATTGGAGGATTTCTCAGTCAAAGGGAAAAAGAAACTAGTGTGCAAGTTAAAGAAAAGCTTGTATGGTTTAAAGCAAGCCCCGTGGCAGTGGCACAAGAAGTTTGATGGTTTTATGAAGCGACATGGCTATAACAAGTGCAATATTGACAATTGTTGTTACTTCAAGAGATTTAAGTCAAGTTTCATTATCCATCTACTATATGTTGATGACATGTTAGTGGCAAGTTCTGATAAATCAGCAAATTGAAGAAGTAATTGTTTAGTGAATTTGAGATGAAGGATCTTGGTGCAGCTAGCGAAACAAATTCTTGGGATGAGGATTAACAGAAGGTATTTTATAGTTGTCTCAAGCTGAGTACATTGAACGGGTTTTGAAGAGGTTCAACATGAATAATGCTAAGGCGGTGAGTACTCCCTTTGTTAGTCACTTCCGATTATCTCTTAAGATCAGTGTCCGAAGACAGAAGATGAGAAAAACTTCATGGCTAAAATTCCATATGCCTCAGCCATTAGAAGTTTGATGTATGCCATGGTGTGTACAAGATCGGACATTGTATATGCAGTGGGAACAGTAAGTAAGTTCATGAAGGATCCAGGCAAGCTATACTGGGAAGCAGTGAAGTAGATATTGAGATATCTACGGGCTATCACAGACAAATGCCTATTTTCAAAAGGGGCAAGGTGAAGCTACATTGTTATATAGATTTAGACTTTACTGGTGAGGTGGACCATAGAAGAAGTACTGCCGGGTATGTGTTCACGGTGGGTACAACTACAGTTAGTTGGGTTTTGCAAATAAAGAGGATTGTAGCATTATCTACTACAGAGGCAGAATATGTGGCGATGACGGAGGCCAGCAAAGAGATGATTTGGTTATAAGGTTTGTTGACAGAGTTGGGATTCGAACATGTGAAGAATGTTTTGCACAACGATAATCAAAGTGCGATACATCTAGTAAAGAATTCAACATTTCATTCAAGGACCATATAGGACTTCGGTATCACTTCATCAGATCTTTGTTAGAAGATGGGGTGTTGACACTTGAGAAAATATATACTTGGCACCAACAATTCAGCTGACATGTTGACCAAGACAATGACCATGGAGAAACTAAAGCTGTGCACAGTTTTAGTTAGTCTTCTAGCTTGAAGACGGAGATAAGCGCACCAACATGCATAAGACATGTATGAGAAGAAGATGGAATGGGTTTACAAGTGCACCAACCTCCAAGTGGGAGATTGTTGTGGTTTTGTGGAGTCTTATTAATTTTTAGGAAGATTTAATAGTACGGAAACTTCAGTTTTCTGATCTTTTTTAACTTTCTTATTGGTTTTGGACTCTACAAAAGACAAGTTCTTGTAGGACAAGTTTGTGACTCTATATATATCAACTCTAATTAGATTTTAGGGTGTGAAGAAAAGTGAGAAGAAAAAAGAGAGGATCATCATACGCGTTGTATGATTGATTAATTTGTGCCAATACAAAAGAGAGCAATTGAGAGAGATTGAGAGAAAATTTTTCATTGTAATTTTTCATCTTTTTCATAGTGAAATTATTTGGTGTGCTCCATGGATGTAAACCTAAGATTTGGGTGAACCATGTATATCTTGTATTCTTGTGTGTAATTTTTTTTATTCTTCGTGATTGCTTGATTATTTATCGAACAACGTTGTTTATTTTGGGTTTCTACCACAACAACTAGTATCAAAGCATCCGATTGATTGTGCAGCAACTCCAATAACATGTGATATAGTAGAAGAAAGAGGGGGCAACAACTAGGCGTGAGAAAGAGGAAGAGAGGAAGACGAAGGGAGAGAGATAAAGAGTGTTCAAGAAACTTAAGACAAGTTGATATATATATATATATATATATATATATATATATATATATATATAGGGGCGGAGCCAGCATATGCCTAGGGAGCACATGCCCCCTGGCCTGGCCCCGCCCTATATAATATACAAATATTAAGTTTCTAAAATTCTATAAACTTTTTTTTCTTTGCTCATTTACTCTTTAAATTTCTTTAATTTCCTTTAAAAAAAAAAAAAAATCAAATTCAAAATTCTATCAGCTTTCTTTTCCAATTACCTTTTTTTTTTTTTTTTTTTTTTTTTGGTAGTTCTCCCCTGAATTCAAATCCTGGCTCCGTCCCTATATATATATATATATATATATATAAGTAGTGAAGTGGTATATATTCATATTTGATTCAATATATATATATATATATATAACTAACTATCAACCACATATAACTATAACTAATACCTGCAAAACCAGAGTGTTCAATTGTTAAACCATGATTTTGTGTATGAGTTGAGGTTACACTTACTCGGAGATTGATGGATACTATTTGATTAGTCAGAGAAATAGTCTAGGATTAACTATATGATTTTATTAGGCATGGTACGGAATCAGCCTATTTTGAAGTGTACTACACCTCGTGTTATGGCCATTGGATTGGCCGTGTCCTTATTATGCGCAGGTAGTGCGAGATCATCTGGGTGAGTAATGTGCAAACTCAGCCATATGTGTGTTTATGGGATTGTTTGATCCTATACTCGGACTTTGAGAACAAGACACCTGTTTGATAAGAGTCCAGAACTCATGTGAGATATGTGAAAATTCAGAAGTATACGGAGTATATGACTTGTATATTAGGCTTTTTACACGTAAATGCTTAATTAGTGAAGGTATTTTTGGTTATGAGTTTTGAGCGACTACGTGTTGTATTACTGTTATTAAGCAGATTTTTGTTGTACATCTTACGCTTCGGGGAGGAGCGGGGCGTGATCAGACCTTCTACTAGGGAAGGTGAGGAGGGATTTATTGAAGCGCAAGATATGGAGATCAGAGGAGGCAATAATAATAATAATAGATTGATGCTACCTGACGATGGTTATGAATGGAGAAAATATGGCCAGAAGTTCATAAAAAATATCGCAAAATTCAGGTACAAAAATACTTTCAATTATTGTGCACGACTTTCCATCACATTATCTTATATATACAATCTTGTAATTATTATTATTATTTGAAAATTGAATACCACTGCAAGAGTTACTAGCTAGGACCATATATATTGTGCCTCATGCTGCACAATATTTTGTGAAACGTACGTACCCTATAATGATCAACAAAACAACTTGATAAATAGTGCTTTTGCCATTCCTATATAAGGATTGAATCTTCCAATTATATATATATATATATATATATATATATATATGATGTTTTGTTTTTTTTTCTTGGCTAAAAGCACACATTTCTGCTTTTTTTCTTTCTTTTTCGGGAAGGTTAATTTATTATTATTATTATTATTATTATATTTTTATAGGTTGTTGATGCATTATGATATCAAGTTGGATTTGCATTTTTTTAGGAGCTATTTTAGGTGTCGCAAGAGCCAATGTAAAGCGAAGAAGCGAGCCGAGTGGTTGACCTCAGAGCCCAACAACCTTCGAGTCGTGTATGATGGGGTGCACTCTCATGCCTCCTTGACACCATCGGACTTCTCACAAGGGACTTCTAGTACTACTTCAAGAGCAAATCCATATGACTTGTTAACACAAGTTTTGGAGGATCAATCTGCAATTGGCATTAGTTCGGATGGAATGGTCTCTCCTTCTAAAAAAGAGATTGAACACTATAAGAAAAGAGTTTTTTAGTTACGGAATATTTTACTATGAAATCAAATTCCTAGTAAATAATAGGATATTTACTACGGAAATAATTTCGTTGTAAATTTTCATTTCGTAGTAAATTCTCTCTTATTAATTTATTATGAATTTAATTCATAGTAAATTAACTAATATTTACCACGGATATTTTTGTAGTAGACTCGCTTATCAAAGATGGTTTCGTAGTAAATTTCCTTGTATTTACCATGGAAGAAAATATTTTGTAACAAATAACTGTATTTGTAACAGAAATAATTCGTAGCACAAAAGTGCGTAACTAACGAAAACATTTTGTAGTAAATTAATATATTAGTGATGGAAATAATATTGTGTGGTTTTGTGCCTATTGGAGGATCTAACAAATTCTCTTAGGCCAATGGTTAGTGGCCTAATGGTATCAATCAGTGGTTCAAGCCTCATTGAAAGTATGTATCATAAGCTAAGTCATTAATAATTTTTTCAGTAATTAAAGACATTAATATTTGATCTGCAATCATCTCTCTCTCTCTCTCTCTCTCTCTATATATATATATATACCATCTCTACCTTAAAACAAGTCAAAAATAAATTCTGTATCTGTACTGTATACTTGTCTATGCAGATAACCAGAATATTGGTTTTTACAATTTTCTTTTTTTCATGATTATGACAAAATTATAATTAAAATCTTCGAGGATGTCATCCAATATTGTAAAGGAATTTGTGTAGTTTTACCTGTATTTCAGCTAATTAAGGTCACCACTCTAATTTGATAAATATTAAAGGGGGACAAATTTAACTATAAAGTTTCTTGAAGAATAATTATTAATGAACTGTAAATGTTTGTACAATTGTTTTAACTTCAGAACAAATTTTTTTTAGCTAAATACATATAGAAGTCTTACAAAATTCTGAATTTTCATAATCAAGTGATCCACGTGTATACATTTAAAATTGATTAATATATTAAAAAATTTACTATGTTCTTTTAAACTTTTTTACCTAGATTATTATACTAAAGTGGGATTATATTTAATAGAAAATTGTCGATCCATACATGATACCCTTAAAATTGATGGATAATTTTTATAAAACACTTATTAGATTGTCATATTATACAAGATTAAATTTCATACAGCTAAAAAACAAGATATTTATATACCTCTTTTTTTTCCCTTTATTTATTTATTTGAATTCGATGTAGGACAAATCTCTCTTGTAATACTTAGTAGATAGAACGTCTAACTTTTCGAATAAGTGTGCCCTCGAGTCTCTCTTTTCTAAATTGCCAAGGAAAAAAAATAAAAAATCTATAGTGATGGTTTTATAATTTATCGAGGTCAAGAATTGGGATGCAAAGTTTAAATATTGTGTGTGTGTGTGTGTGTATATATTTATAGCATTGGACTACTAAGGTTTAACTTGAAACAGGAGGATAAAAAATAGAATTAATATTGGGAGACCCAAATAATTTGATATATTGTTATGTTGAGAGTTTTTAATTTTTTTTAATTTTTTTTTTAACCTGACAAACAAGGAGAAACAACACAAATCAAAATAGACAATTCTTAGCTGCTAGAAGAGGAATATCAGGCGGAATATGGGCAAGAATAACGTCCTTAGAAAGATGAATTCTGAAAAGCGCTGCAAGATATGCTAGCATTAGCCACCTCATTGCCATGCCTATGGATATGGCTAAGACATGATAAGGAAAAACTCCGAAGCGTTACTTGAATATCATAGGAAATGGCCTAAATATCAATTGGCCCAAGATAGACAGCCAAAATAGCCTTAACCACCGCCAACGAATCAGATTCAAACCAAATCTGATGAAAATGGAAAGACAACGTCCATAAGACGGCTTTACAAAGACATATAGCCTCAGCTGAAGTCGCATTCGAAGCCAGAAACGGACAAAAAACCACAATCTCCAAAATAGAGCCCGACAAGTCTCGAAAGATAGCTCCACCTCCCCCCACTTGAGAAGATTGAGAAAATGGCGCATCCACATTACATTTAACAATACTTAGATGCGGAGGCAGCCAATGTGACAAGGAAGAGGATGAACACGAATGCGAATGGAGGTTAGAGTTAAGTAGACTGCTTGACAAATGCAAATTTGATAAATTAGAGACCTTCTTGAACTCCAAGAAAAATGAACACAACAACCCAACCACCCGGTGAGCATCCCAGAGCTCCCCCATTAAAAATGAGTTTGTTGCGAGCCTTCCAAATAAACCAACAACAACAAGCGACAAACCTCAGCAAATCTGACCCCCCCTCCTTTGGCCCCCACTGGTAAGCCAAACTCAACCACCAAGCACTAAAAGAAGAAGGGTGGTCTGCAGCAAAGTCAAATCGAAGTGGAAAGAGCTTCCAAACCTGAACGGAATAGAAATGCTGAAAAAGCAAATGTTCAATAGATTCCGTCGCTGAACCACAACGTGGGCACACAACCTCATACCATGAACAATCAAGCGTTCACGGACCGGAATAGCAAGTTTACAACTTTTCCTCAAGAAATGCTGTAATTTTGGCAGAATTTTACACAACCAAATACTATCCCATAGTAACTTACAGCTAGAAGGTGAATCAGGTGCAATCGAAGAGCTGCTCCCACAACCCATAAGGCTGTAAGCTAAGTTATTGGCTGACTTCACAGAAAACATATTATTGGACTCCAAATCCCAACCCAATGTATCCGCTTTAGAAAATAAACTAAAACTACATTTAAGATAAATTTGTGGATAGGTTTTTGTTATGAACTACTTACACTTTAAAAGAAGAGAGAGATTATCTTATTTATTGGAGTCACACAAAAATACTACATTAGCAATTATGACGAAAGCTTTGTGGTCTAGGGTTAAGGGGACTTTGTTCCATGTTCAATTCGAATTTGAAATGGATAAAATAGGTATATATGGATTAGAATTAACTCTTAATAATTTAAGTTTTTGAATCAAATGTTTTATACAAGACTATTTACAATTGATGTTAGAGCGAGACACAATCGCTGCTTGATAAGGTGCGAGGTGCCCGGGTTATATATATATATATCAAGAGAGAGAGAGAGAGATGTGGAATGATTGGTACTCCATGCCCATTTATATTAAAAGTTGTTGACCTCGCGGACATGGCAAAGACAAAGAAATAACTGCCTTGAAATTGAAATGCTTTTTGTGTTTAAGTCAGCACACTTTGTTGATGGGTAGGTTCAATCAATAGGGAGGCAATCGCTTATTAATGCAAAAAAATTTACTTTGTTGATAAGCCGGCTCAACCCATAGCGAGGCAATGGCTTCAGGAAAAAAAAATTTCTTCTTTTACATGCGGTATTTGTTTTTTGGGTAAAATACTATGGAGGGGAAAATCCCCATCAATTAAATTTAAATCACACACACTTATACAATAGAAGTGTCAATTGCAACCCAATACGTGTCAAGGTTTTAAGTTCAAGTTATGAATGGGAGCTTCCATATGTGATTTTCCGGCTACCTCCATAGCCGCCTGACCAATTATACCGCTGACGAAGGTGGAAGACAATTCTCCATAGCTAATGGAATGTGATGTGGACCTATTTTAACGGTTTTGTATAGGCCAACCTGGGCCTCTTCCATTTGGGCCTTGTTGTTGTTGACTAGCCTTGGGCAAACATTGCCTTTTGGTCTCTGTACTTACCTTGTTCATATATATGAAATTTAACTTAAAAAAAAGAAGTTATGGATTAGGACCGTGCCAAGAAAATGGATCGTTCAACCCAGTAGCATGGGCCTGAATGTAATCCTTTTCCTAGTCCAACAAGAATTTCTACGAGATACTAACAAATCAGTGACCTAGCGATACCATCCTTACTTTTCAAAGAGAGGTGTTCAAGCCTAGGTAGAGGCATGTGTGTAAGAAAAATAATAAGAAAACTAACTTCTATGAGAAAAGGAAAGACTGGGGATATACGTAGTTCTGGTTGTAGGGGTGCTAAGGGCAATCTTATTTTTGTAAGATGTGCTAGGGGCACTCATAAGGAATGTAGAATGTGCTATGATTCTAGGATTTGTCTATATATAGGGTATTATATACAAAATCATTTTATCAAACTATAAGGCAATTAAGGGGATCACCTAAGGCCCCCAATAAGAGAAGAGGCTTCATATTTCAGTATATATAAATTATATATATATTTTAAGGTTGTCTAGGGCAATTCATCGATAAGGCAATTATGGCGATCGTCTAAGGCCCCCAATATGATAAAAGGCCCTATATCTTATTATATTAGTTATATATTTCTTTGAAGTGTATTGTCAGGGGCAGCTTATCCATGAGGCAATTAAGGTAGTCGTCTAACGTCCCCAATAGAAAAAAAAGGCTCTCTATATCATTATATTAGTAATATATATTTTTTAATGAATTGGTTCGTGTATTATATTAATTACCAAATAAATATAACCTATCTTCTATTGGAGAATTCAAGTTTCTTTATTATTAGTTATTGTGTATTGTATTAATTACCAAATAAATATAATTGTTCTTCTTTTTGTCAATACAAGTTTTTGAGTTTTATCTTATAATTACCTCATTCTTTTACCCTCAAAGACTTCTTCTAATCTTTAAGTCTTGCACACCAATATTTGTTCAAAATTTTGTGCTTTGTAATTTATTCTCTTTTTTACGAAGATTTTCAGCACAATTAAATCACTATCTATTAAGTTTTAAGAAGGTAAATTGTGCTTTTAAACTTCCTTAAGCTTATTGTAAGTTAAGAGGATATCAATGCTTCAAAAGCCTAAGAATCTCTACACAAAGAGATTTGTCTTCAAGGGTGAGAATCTCTAGTCTCTACACCTAATATATATATATAACCATCATATACTATTTTTGAAAATGCAAATTGTCTCCAAACAAAACCTTGATTCGATTTCATGCTTGCGATTTGAAATGCCATTTCTGAACAATATCTAGTGCAGCATAATTATATTGCTCATGAAAAGAAAATATTGTATATATATGTTGAGCTATGCTAAGTACGGCCGTAACGGTTACAAACTTAAACTTAGATCTTGCAAAATTCATACATTTAAAGACTCAGGTTATTTGGTCATAATTATACTTACCGTACCATTCTCTATATATACTTATTGGACAATACTTAAGTCCTCACTAGTGAGGATCGACAACATACTCACCGCTGATGTAGACCAAATTTGGTAATTAAAGATCATATGTCAATTTATTATTGGTCCACATCAACGGTGAGTATATCGTAGATCCTCACTAGTGAGGACGTAAATATTGTTTGTCCTTACTTAAGAGTATATGAACCCTTTTTTTTTTTTGGTAAATGAAATCGATGCCTTTT